GCTGTCACCGCCCTTAAAACTCGGAGAGATTATTGCCTCCTTCCATTTCGAAAGTAGGACGCAGCTATCAAGCGATATTGGGAACACGCAGGTGAGAGGACCACTCAGCTCAGTGTCCAATTCATGCAACAGCTTTGGACGAATTGAATCAGGACCGGAAGCTTTAGAGGGATTAATGCCTTGCAGTAGCTGAAAGACCTGAGTCTCAATTATCTTAAACTCAACTAAGCAAGAATCCCCTGGAACTCTTAAAAACCAATTCACCCTGTGGTAAAGAGGTCGCGCGAGCGAAGACTCCAGTATACTGATCACTAAGTATACAACCCATTTCATAGTCTGTTTGCGCACGGGTCCCGTCTGCTCGCAATAACGCTGGTATAGACAGTTTTGCCCCGCTGTCTTTTAACCTAAGCAAAAACTTCTTGGGATTAGCTGCGGCCGAGTCCTCTAAACCCTGCTTGTACTGGAGACGAACAGTCTTGAGATGTTGCTTACATTTATTGCTAATCTCTCGAGAAATATCAAAGGTACTGACTGAAGGCTTGCTTAGTAGGTTTGCCAGTATCTAGCCCGTTTCTTGAGTGAGTACCTGCTTGTGGTATCTATTCAGTAACGCAGTCTTCATGTCTAGAATATAGGGAGCTGAAACCTCAGTAAGATACGCCTTAAATATATTCCAGGCTAATTGGACAGAGGCAGCCATCGAGATCTTACAGTTCAGAACTGAAGCCTTAGATCGCATTACACTAAAGACCGCCCATCAAATATTCGGAAGTAATTCAACAGCGGTCGCTTGGTGCTTTGAAGGAACACACTGAAAGCGTATGCATTCGTGATCGCTGGACCCTAGAGGTGCACCGTATGAAACGTCAGTCACGAAGTCCAGGGGCTTGGTGAAAACCAGATCTAAAGTAGATGGTATTTGGTTGTCCATATACCTAGTTGGAAAGGCCACGAACCGGTGCAAAGGCACTTGGAGAGTAAGCTCAAGAAAGACTGCACCAAATGTTTCTGAAGCCGAACTGCAAGAAAGCTTGGCCCAACAGACTTTCGAGAGGATGACATCATCTAGAACTAAACCTTTATTCATGGACTGAGGGCGAATAAACTCAAGTACCCCACTGGACGAACTTCTAACACTCTTATATATCACTGCAACTGTAAACTGGGTAGAAAAAGTGCACAAAACAGCCTATAGGGCTTCAACAGTCTGCTCCGGCGACTAGAATATGCAGATACTCAACACCTCTAAGTTACAGCTCACATACAGTACAACTCCTCCGCTTTGGCGACCAACGGAGCGACCACTTCTAAGCAGCGCGTAGCCAGGTAAGCATACCTCACCGTCCGTTATATCCGGAGACAACCACGTTTGGTGAAAGCAAGTATTTCTGGACAAGATTTGTCTGCAAGTGGACCCAACACGTGTAGCTTGTTCCTTAGGCTACGCACGTTACTAAGTACAACCTCAAGGAAGTCGGCACGACCACCCTTGGGTCGTGCATCATCAGGATGGGTTCTGATAGGACAGAAAATAACTTCCGGCTGACCACCTAAAAATTATCAGACGGAGGTCTTGCCCACTAGCCATCCGTCTGGTTTTGAGGTCTCTGATTTCCCCATTTAATTTCAATCTATCTGCCAGTGGATTGTCCCGGGGGAATGCTGAAACCAATACCCTTAAGTATGAATGCAAACTGCAGTAATGATTTGCGTTCCTCCGAGGTAGAAAGGACAACGCAAAGTAGTCGGGGTCGGGGAGTAGGCACACCGATACGATGGTTCCCAAATCTGGTCAGCTTTCTAACAGTGACACCAGGGAAGCCAGGTGGAAACAGCTTAGTGACGCACAGGTTGAGCCACTTGATGTCATCCAAGGTGCGTTTTCTTGGAGGAGCAGCCGCAGATTAAGTAACCTTACGGAATATAATGCTACTATCCGTGAAAGAGACAGCATGAAGGGGTGTTTACTCCACTTGCCTTGGATTCCACACTTATACCAGATGGTTTCTCCGCCGGCGCTCAGAGATCGACGCGCCCAGCTACCACCGATGCCAAACTTTCAGCGCTGGCTTCAAGCTTGGAAGTTGTTGCGAAGACGACAGACAAACTCCCCTCTATTGCCTCGCTTGATACGAAAATGGATTTGATTTTAAAATCTTTGAACATTGCGTTCGAGGACGCTGCAACAGACGGCCACATTGCTAACGATCCACCCAATGGGTTCTGACACTCGGTCAAGCAGTCGCACATCCTGCTGGACACCCCAGGTAGTATTGCTGACTATCTTCATGGGCCTGTCAAAGTGAAGAAAAATAGGGTGCACAAATACCAAAAACCCTCTGCTAAATTCAGAGAATTCAGTGAGAGGGCACGGAGAAAGATGCCCTCTTTGATAGTCACAAAGTCATCTGATGGTTGTGCACAGGTGAATATTCCAAAGATGCTGACCGTCTCAGCTGTCACTGAACCAGCCCGTTCTGACGGAGTGTTAGTAACTGCTCAATTCGAAACAAGATCAACGGCCCCTGCTGCCGTGAGTCAAAAGAAGAAACGTACTAGATCTGCCAGTAAAATTTGAAGGGACTTGAAGACACAGGAACTATTCTTGGAACTCTGTATTCTTTGGCTCATGTGGGTTTACTTGTCGATGATCCTGTGAAAGCCAGTCTCCTGGCCATGCAATATTCGTCTGTTTACTCGATGGAGAAGCTGTTTCCCAGTGACGCAGTGCCAGTACTCCCTTCTTCGTTGGAGTATGTAGAAAAGAGCGCTGATGTCGGTGTCAAAGGCATTCGTGAATTAGATCCGAACTCCTCGCTGGGTCCTGATGGGTTGCATCCGCTGTTCCCCACGACTATGTCCGATTACATTGCTGCTGCTGTTTGCGTGGTATTTCGACATGCTCTTGAAGTCGGACGGCCACCGAACGCTTAAAAAGTGGGGATTGTTAAACCAATACACAAAGGAGGGGATCGTCAAAACCCTGCCAATTATCGACCCATCTGTTTAACGTCAATATTGTGAAAGGTAATTTAGAGGATTCTCAAAACCAGACACTTCTTCTCCAACTCGATAACCTAAACATCATCACTTTTGTGCAGAATGGTGTTCGGCGGTCGCGCTCCTGTTCTTCGAATCTGCTTGCGGCCCGTGAAAGATGGGCGAAATCATTAGACGCTAGGAAACGTCGGGATGTTATTATTGTCGACTTCAGCAAGGCCTTTGACAAGGTTCCTCATGAAAAGGTCCTTTATAAATTACGATTACTCGGTGTTTCTGGGAAGGTTCACTCTTGGATCGCTGACCTTTTGGATAACCGGACAATGCGAGTCGACGTAAACGAGACTTACTCCGCTCCTGTGCTCATGACTAGCGGTGTCCGAAAGTTATCGATCCTGGGCTCAAAACTTTTCAAGATCTTCATCAATGACCTCCCGGCAGAACTTCAGTTGGATTGCCTGCTTTACGCTGACGACTTGAAATTGTGCATGGAGGCATCCTGTCTTGACGAGGCGGACCGATTACAGGCAACACTTTATACGTTACATGAGTTGTCAGTCAAATGGAGATTGCCCATAGATCGCGATAAGTGCTCGGTCCTCCCCATTGGTGCTCCTGAGCCTTTCGGGACGTACCACATTTGTGGGGCGTTGCTCAGAAACTCAATCCTTGAAAAGGACCTCGGAATGTTGGTGTCATCTGATCTACGGACTACACGGGACACGTTACGAAGGGTTGCTGCCGCCAACTGGATGTCCGATTTAATACGAGGAGCTTTCTCGCGTTTGACTCCGGATATCTTCCGACTGTTGTTTACTTCCCATGTTCGCCCCATTCTCGAATACGGATTACCTGCCGTCTTCACTCTTACCAAATTCGAATGTGAACTCGTTGAGAATGTCCAACGGCGGGGATCGAAACACATCTTGGAGTTACGGGACTTGCCTTATCCTTTGAGACTTCAGCGAGTGAACCTGTTCTCTCTGGATTATCGCCGACGTCGCGGTGACCTGATTTTCACCAGGCGCATCCAGAGACGAGAGATGGTGACGGAGCTGCAGATGTGCTTTCAATCCAATGCAAATAGTTCAACTCGAGGCCACAACTAGAAAGCGTTTAAACCCAGAAGACTCCGGGTTCATCCTGCTCTTGCTCTATCCACTCGCGTGGCCCGCGATTGGAAAAAACTTGCCGAAGTATGTGGTCGATGCCCAGACTGAATAATGTTTCAAGCGAATGTTAGATGCCAATCTTTTGAGTACGATGGGCCCCTGCAACTACCAATGTAGCCGTCACGGTCCCTTGTGGATTACCGCTTAGCATCAAATCGCGGCCTCCACACAATGATCGGGAAGTGATGGAGCTGACAAAGGATTTCTCCTTCTTCTCGCTACAAACCTTATAAACTTATGAACTAGTAAGCCACCGGCAATTGAGCGGAAAAGCTACGCTACCGTTGGTTCGACGTCGGTTGTAAGACATATTAATTAGATTTCGCCTCCAATGTAATGGTACACACATTTATAACCTTACCATTACATGTACTTTAAGCTAAAATTATATTCTTTACTTACATATATGTATCTACTATTTTCTAAATGCTTGCTTCTAAACCTGCGTCGTCATTGATTGGCAGTATAATGATCTTTCCATGTTTGATTGGTTTCTAACAGTAATGTGTTTCATTTATTTATCTTTTGTTGCATCAATACCTTCATTTCTGCTATATTTCTTACATGGAAGGCTTAACTGATTCTAAAAACGACTACTTAAGTTGTTTCCGCTAGTTAGTGTTACCTGCCACCTAGAATTCGTTTAAGTAAATGCGCTTAGGTTACTACTAGCGTTATGCATTTAAACAAATATATTTTGGGTGCTGAATTCACCTGTGACAATTCGTAGTACAGTTTAGAAACTTAATTTAATCATGCTTGGAAGATACCGTGTAAATTTTTGCGGACGCTTGACTTTGCGTTGATGTGACCACATACCGCTGCGCAGTTGGAACCGTTGAGTGCGCCACTGGTGAGAATATCCGTACGGGCCGTTGTTAGTCTGCACAGCTGACTTCTTTGTTCTTTAGATATATGCTCAGTTAGCCCATGTTGAATGCTATGCGACGCTGTGCTAGCCCACGCCCCATAGAATTTGAGTGAAAATCCGCCTTTACGTCCGCCATAGCATCGTCCATTACCGCCTGGATGCTGTACCATCGCTACACTGTCAACATCCCATTGATCGCTTTTGGCGCATTCGACCGTTGGTGCATTGTTGGTCTGGTGGTTCACTGGTTGTTAGAGAGCAGAAGGAAGTTCCTTTGTCAGCTCCGTCACTTCCCGATCGTTGCGAGGAGGATCGGAAGTTCTTTGGTGTAGAGTTCACGATGGGTTCAGACCGCTCATAGTCGGCGTTATCTACAGGTCCCCCTGGGGCCAGGATCCCATCTGCTAGACTCGATGAGGATACACGGGGGAGGCAAAGATTACTTGAATGTGGGTGACTTCAATGCTCCAGCTATATACTGCGATGCGCTTCATTGTAACTTATCTCCAGATTCTTTTGATACGCGTTTATTAGAAATAGTCCTCGAATGTAATCTAACGCAACACGTTTTGTCACCTACCCGTTTTTTTTCCAGGTCATGTGCCACACATCCTTGACCTTCTGCTCACACCTGGCTCATCAGATGTCTCCGCTTTAGCCATTATTCAGCCTATTGTCCAAAGTGATCACTGTGTAGTCTCCTTTTTATGGACACTCCGAAATTTCTGGCGAGCTGACACCCCTGCTTAAAATTAGCTGCTAACCTGATGGACTGGAACATCCCTCACCAGTTGGATCTCGATGCTGCTCGGGACCTTTTGTGCTCCAAGATGATATTTATCATTGATCGGATTGTTCCAAGGGTCACGAAACAATCTCACTCCAAAGATGGGGAAATCAAATTGCTCATGCTGAGAAGGCGAAAACTTTGGGGCCAGTTCAAATTCACTCAGACGGAGCATGATTACGCTCATTACGAAGAATTTAAAAATATATGCACCCTGAAAAAGCGCGAAAAGCGAGAATTATATGAGCAGCACCTGGCCGAGCAATCTGCGATTAATCCGAAAAACCTTTTCGCATATCTAACAAGAAGCACCAAAGCTGGCAACGGTATACCCGCACTGTATTCAAGCAAAGAGGGCACCGTGCTTCATGATGACATGACGAAAGCTTGTCTACTAGATTCGCAATATTCCTCTGTGTATACGAAGGAGGCGCCTTCACTTGTTGAGGATTCTCCCAGTCACCCGTCTCTATTAAAGCATCAAAATTACCACTGAGAGAGTACTGGAACTGCTTCTCGACTTGAACTTGAATTCTTCACCGGGACCCGATGGCTTACATCCCTTGTTTCTCAGAGTTCATTGCTGCACCAATTTGTCAAGCATTTCGAAGCTCACTTGAAGCATGTTGTCTCTCAACTAAATGGAAAGCGAATATTGAGAAACCGATGTACAAAGGTGGAAATCGCCAAGATCCAGTGGACAACTGAACGATTTGCCTGTCATTAATCCTCTGTAAAACCATGGAAAGGATTTTGAAACAGGCGTTGCATCATCAGTTTGAGAAATTGGACGTCATCTCTCCTGCTCAGCACGGATTTCGGTGGGCACGCTCTTGCATTACCAAGCTGCTTGTTGCCCGAGAAAACTGGGTGCGGTCAGTAGATGCTGGTCATCGTCTTGATGTAGTTTTTGTGGATTTCAACAAAGCGTTTGATAAGGTTCCACACAAGCGACTTTCAAACTTCGGCAAATTGGCATCGCTTGTAATTTGCTCGCCTGGATCGCTGACTTCCTAGATGACCGTAGTATGAGGGTGAAGATTAACGAAGCTGACTCTGGTCCTGTTCTTATGACCAGTGGGGTTCCACAAGGCTTGGTTCTTGGTCCCGAACTATCCAAAATTTTTATCAACGATCTCCCGGAAGTGCTCCAAATCGACTGCTTATTCTATGCGGATGATCTTATACTGTGGTCGGAAGTATCCAGGCTTGAAGATGCTGACAGGTTGCGACTGACGCTCCATCTGCTGCACTATTGGTCTATCAAGGGGCAAATGCCTATCAATCGTGATAAGTGCTGTGTTCTCCCGATCGATGATCAGGAACGTTTCGGTGCTTACCACATCGGTGGTTTTCTGTTGAAGAATATGGTTGGTGAGAAGGATTTGGGTGTACTTATTTCTCCAGACCTAAGAACAACCCAGGACACGTTGCGGAAGGTGGTCTCTGCCAACAGGATGCTCTATTCCATACAAAGGTCGTTCTACAAATTGACTCCGCAGAATTTCAGACACCTGTTTTCCTCCCATATTCATCCAATACTGGATTACGGCCTATCTGCCATACACCTATTCAGGAAATTTGAATGTGAGTTGATTGAGAAGGTTCAGAGGCGCGGATCCAAGTCTGTGTCTGTGCTACGTGTTTCACCTTATCCCCTTCGTCTCCAATATATGAACTTATTTACTCTGAACTACCGCCGTTGCCGTGGTGATCTGGTTTATACTGGACGCATTTTAAGGGGCGATTTGGGGGAGGTGCTGCAGTTCTTCCAGCTCAACACAGATTCTTCAGCACGGGGCCACAGCTTGAAACTTTTTAAAACTCTGAGTAACCATCAGGTCTGATATCGCGTTATCCACACGGGTTGTGAATGAATGGAACAATCTCTCTGATTACGTGGTAAGTGCCCAGACAGAGGAATGTTTTAAAGAACGATTGGACAAGTACCTGCTGAGCATACCTGGATTCCGCTGTTTTTGCTGCAGCTGCAACAATCCGTCGGGGAACACAGCTTAGCAACGACATGTTACCCAGCCAATGAACGGGAGGTAATGGAGCTGACACGGGTTTTCCCTTCTGCTCTCTACAACTCTGAAATCTATGAATTTTGCTGGGATTATTGCGGAACAAGGTTTCGCAGAGGACCACTGTAGTTGTATTGGGATCAGCAAAATCGCTGCGCACTCAGAGAGAGAATCCAACGGTCGCTTGAAACATTCCTCCGTTTCCGCATCAACGAACGCCTCCGGCAAGCTGTTCCTGTTATTCACTACCCGGGTCGATAGAGCCAGATCGGACTGCACACGGAGTCGCCGCGGCTTGAATACTTTCCACCGGTGGCCTCGAGTTGCACACTGTCTTGAGACGAAAAAACAACTGCAGCTCACCCCTTAGAATGCCTCGAGTGAATATCATATTTCCGCGGCGGCGATGACAATCCAAAGGGAACATCTTCAACTGTTGGAGCCGTAGTGGGTAAGTCCCGCAACTCTGGAACGGAATTGGATCCACGCCGTTGAATCTTCTCTTTAATGTCACTTTCGGATTTTGTGAGAGGATACGCAGCAGGCAACGTGCGCACATGCGAAGCAAACAGTAGCCTGAAGAGTCCTGGGGTCAGGCGTGAGAAGGCTCTTCGTATAGCCCAAAGTGTTCTGTAGGCGGGGCAACCCTCTTCCATATGTCCTCGATTGTTTTGTGGTCAGGTGACACAATCACCCCAAGATCCCTCTCTTTGTTGACATTTCTGAGCACGAAACCCCCGACATGGTAAGTCCCGAAAGGCTCAGGAGCACCGATTAGAAGAACAGCGTATTTGTCATAGTTAATGGGCAACTGACACTTTGTTGACCAATTGTGAGGCAGATCAAGCCTCGCTTGAAAGTTATCTGCGTCTACCAGACTGGGTACCTCAATTCACAGCTTCGGATCATCCGCGTAGTTTAAGCAGTCGGTCTGCAGGTCCTTGATAAAAATATTGCAGAGTTCGGGGCCAAATACAGAACCCTGGGGGACCCCACTGGTCATGAGAACTTGATCATGAAACTCTTCATTCGCTGTAGCCTGCATGGAGCAACCGTCCAGAAAATCGGAGAGCCAAGAAAGAAAATTGCCAGTGACGCCGACTCCCCGGAGTTTGAAGAGAAGCCGCTCATGCGGGACCTTGTCAAAAGCCTTACTACAATCAACGAACACAGCTTCCAGACTCTTACCGGCACCTAAGGATCTTGCCCATTTTTCCCTAGCCACCGACAAATTTGTGGCGCATGAACGCGCTCTTCGGAAACCATGTTGGGCATGAGAGATTAACTCCAACTCATCGAGATGAAGGCGAAGGTCCCTTTCAAGATCCGTTCCATGAGTTTGCACTGAATCGAAGTCAGGCAGATGGGACGATAGCTGACTGGGTTCTTTCGGTTCCCTCCTTTGTAAATAAGTTTGCCGATTCCCACCTTCCAGGCAGTTTGAAGCCGCCCGATTTCAAAGGAATAACGGAACGTTTGACAAACAGGAGCGGCAATGTGCTCAGCCACGGAATAATGGGTATAAACCATCAGGACCAGGCGAGAAATACGGGTCTAGGTCAAGTAGAATTTCCATTACAACCTCAGTGTTAACATTCACGTGTTCCAACAGGGAAGGAGGAGTGGGTGCAACGCTATCCGTGAGTGGCGTTTCAGTCGAGTAGATAGAGGAATATTTCTAGTCCAAAAGGCCAGCTTTTTCAACGTCTTCCTAAACTAGGTCCAATTGCCCACAGGGAGACAAGGCAGGGACACCACTGCCAACTTTGAAGCTCCGTTTGAGGTGTGAGAAGAGCGCCTTGGAGTTCTTTCTAGAAGTGACAGCTCGTATTTTTAGCGTTTGCGTTTTTTATGTTGCAAGCATTTCTGACCGTTTTGAAGTAGTAGTAGTAGTCAAGCTGGAATAGCGTAATTCTGTAACGATCCCATAGTTTAGGTCTTCATTTCATCATTGGACTCAATTTGTGATTGTTCCAGGGACGGCCTTTGGGGAAGGGGATGACCTGTTCAATGAGCAACGTCAGCTTGGAGTACAAGTGATTCCACGCTTCGTCAACATTGAAGTGTTCAGTGATACTCCAATGGACAACGCTTGCGGCCGTTTTCAGTCGGAATGTATCGGCACGCCCGAAATTCCGACGGTATTCCCGTGGGCAGTGAACAGCGAAGCCATGTGTCCA